GGGCAGTTGTAACAGCAGATTCAGTTTTCTCTCCCCATGTTTCCTGATCTGCAGTGAGATCCGATTGACAGCTTCCATCTGCCTTTTCCCTTTCTTTCCCTAAATGGGGAGAAGCAGTTGTGTGAGAATCCAGCACTTGTGGTAAAGCCCAGCGACTCCTCTTGCAATTGCTTGCAGCTTGGTGTAGAGCTGAGCAGCTGCCTCTGCCCCCAGGGAAGAAGGAAGGGTGGAAAAGGCCTTCCAGGGGCCTCTGCCAGCGGTGTGAATTGGGCTGCAGAGGCTGAGAGCCCGAGAGCTAGCTAGGACTGACCTGTACAGGTGCTGAGAACTGCACTGAAGGTGGAGGAGGATCCTACAGGCCTGCGAGAAGCATGAGCACCGTTACGAAATGGTTTTGTTAGTGCCTGACTATTCATGTCTCAGCAACCTGACTGCTGGTAGTTGATACTGTTCCAGCTTCCTAATATTATTCATTAGGCAGTTTTATGTTAATCACAGATACATTTGCATATTAATGGTAATGTTTGTCTTAAAGCTAATATTTTTATGGGAAGAGCAGGGAGGCATTTGAACAGGCTTTTGGAATGGATCAGAGGAGACCAAGCAGGGAGAATCAAGTGGAAATCTTTGGCCTTGTGTTCCAGGATTGGGCAGAAGGCAGTTCTTCCATGAGTGTCAACTGTACTCTCCTGGATGGGTTTCCTAGCCATACCTGTGGTAGGGAAGGTGGAGAGCTTCTGGAGTGTGAGACACTAAACTGAACTGCAGGAGAATGGCGTGGCAGGAGCAGTCCTCTCTCGGGGTGTGTGGAGTAAGTGCACAGCGCGTGGACAGATGGGTGGCTTTTCCAGAGGTCAGGGAGGCAGTAACGACAGCCTAACTTACCCCACTGGCAGCTGGGTTTTGACTCAGCTTCTTCAGGCTTGTAGATAAGCTCCTTGCTGACTCCATGCTTCCCCTGCTGAAGTACTTGATGTGATTTCTAATGCTAAGCTGAATCTAGAGACCGCTCTCTTCTGCAAACTGGCAGCCTTTTCTTGCTCTGGGCTTTAGACTGCTGATGTCTGGAGTCATGTTTAGGATTTGAAGGGACTGTAAATCTCAGAGTCAGTGTGTGGCTTGTAGGGACAACCAGGCACAAAATATCTTTTTGTTTGCTGCAGTCTCTTGCAAGTGGAACTAGGCTGGGTTCTGCTTACAGGGAAACCCTCCTGGAGCCAGTGGGAGTAGAGTGGGTCACCCCACACTAAGGGGATATACAGGTTCTTTTAGGCATCCTTGTCAAAATGATGATGTCGCCAAGACATAGTTATGCTTAAAGCTTTATTTTTGTAATAGAATTTTACGATTAGCATAGCCCACAATTTGGGATTAGAATGGCACTGGATTTCTATAATCAGCATCACTATAGTACAGTCTGTAAGTATTATAGCACAGAATTTATATTACAACTTAATTTACGATTTCCAGTCACCTGGAACCCCTGCAGATCTGGTCAGATGTTAATACATCGTTTGTTGTATAAATATAACAATCATAATCCAGACTCGAAAAATCATATAAAAGAGGGTGAGTCACCCAGTCCTCAGAGAAAGCAGATGGTGGTGGAGGTGTTGCTGGCCACCAAGGGTCACGCCTCTCACTGTCCAGCAGCAGCTCTGGTCCAAGTTCCCCCTTTTAGGACTTGTAACATCTTGATTTTACAGACAGTGCTGTTATGCTTCCCTGTTCTGCGACTGGGTCATCAACACCACCTGGATGGCAGGGTGGCTGGGACCTTCAAGGCCGGTACTTTTTAACATCATGTCCGGTGTCTCAGCAGAGGTAGCTGACTTGGTGTTAGAAGTGTGCAAAGGGGCGTAAGCCTGTTGACTGAGTTTGCTGTTAACTAAGGCAGGGAATGCAGAAGTGAGAAAACCTAGTGAGAGTGTTGGGTCCCTTTGCACCTCTGTGGACATCTCACTGTTGAGTGGATCCCTGGGTGCCTCTGTCAGGCTCAAAGTTTTAGGAGCCTGAAGAACCCATGAAAGACATGGTAAGCAGGGTCCTGTCACAGCATGAAAACCCTTACTAGCTGTGAAAACGTGGCTTTCCTTGAGTCTCTGGTACTTCTGTAAGCTTTAGGCACCTGGGTGAAGGCAGGGGACAGTGGGAGGTTGTGGAAAATGGCTGGTGTTTCACTTACTTGCTGTATTCTAAGGAGCAGCTGAAGAGTTAGGTTTCAAGAGATAATGTCTCTTCAGGAAGGAAGGTTCTTTTTCCCAATTATTTGTTTACACAGTCAGGCTTAGGGTGTAGTGTTTCTGCAAAACCTCTCTCTGTATTTCTGACCAGGACTTTGCAAAGAGACTAGAATTGACTCCAGCATCCTACCTCCATCCTACCTTCTGGCTGTGGAGGACAGTAATCATGTTTTCTAAAGGATGTAGCTGACCTCTTTAACTCCCTCCTTTCCACAGCCAGTAGGGCCTCACAGATTCCTGCCATTTGGGAAGTAGGAACAAGATGAAATGAATGAGCTGAATGTCCTGAAGGCTTAGAGACACGGATAGCTCAGGGACAGAGCAGTGGACAGGCTGTCCTGTGCCCATAGGCTTGCTTGTCCCAGTCCAGCCCAGACACAGCCTGTTGTTAGAGGCTGCCCAAGTGTGTTTCATGCTTGAGTGAAGGGAGGAAGTACAAGCAGGCTCCTGTTGAGCAAGTACCCACATGCTTGAAAAGCAGACCAGCAGCAAGGATTGCCCTGGGAGTGAAGCAGGAGGTTTGAGTGAGGCATCTTCATGTTCCATAGCTGCAGGATGCTTCAGTCTCCAGAGGCTGCTACCTCTTGGTACAAATACCCAAGACAGGAGCATCTAAAAGATGAACAGTATTTTGGGCTGCCTTTGCTGTAGGGAAGAGAAGGACTGGAGGGCTCTAGGGAAGGGACTCATGGCACTTCTTTGGATTGGTGCTGGTGAGTGTAGGTGTTGCTGGGCTTTACAAATCCCTTATGTGGCATGATAACAGTACTTTCCAAAATAACTTTTTATCCCCATGTGAGGAGTGTCTCTCATTTACACCCACTAAACGGTGCACCTTTGTCCAATCCTCATTTTATCCTTGTCCTCGCATGGGCTGTGGTCTTTGAGCCTGCCACTGTGCATTACCTCAGTTTTTGATGTTCCTGAGCACTAGAATTGGGACTCAGTGGACTGGGTTTGAGTGCTTAACTCAGCAGGTAGCTTCATATAGACTTATTCCTCTCCTAGTCTTACTTTTCTTGGGTTTGATGGCTAATTCTCTTGAGACAAGGATGGTGTCTTCATTGCATGTGGGCATGGTACCAATGCATTGAAGCTCTCGGGGGAATAACTTACTTGGTCCTGACTTCAGAGTTTTGTGTGCTAAACTTGACCCCAGTTAACTTAGAATGGGTCTCGTGTGACTTTCAAAGTAGCAGACTGGAGCAGCAGGTGGAATCAGGCAAGCATCTGTGTTTGGGGCTTTTGTGGCCAGGCCTCTAAATCTGTTAGCCATAGGGTTTGGGCTCTCTGGTTCTTTTGGGACTCTTTTTTCCTAATATGAGATGTGAGAGCAGATGTGATTTGTTTAGCAGCAGCAACTGATTGGAGTTGTGATGGAAGAACAGCATAATGCCATTGGTTGGGATTGTCTTAAGCAGCTGACTTCTGCATGGCCTAGAAGTGTTGTGTACCATGGAGTCATTCTGGGGTGGAGGGGACAGACCAGGACAGTCCCTGTCCTGCGTCCACCTTTGGGTCCATGGAGTATCCAAAGCCAGACACAAGAATGTGGGGGCAAAAGAATGGGCCTCTCTGGGCCATAACAGTGCATCTGCAGCCCCAGCACAACAATATAGATGGACATTTAGCAACAAGCTGAAGGGACATGCCCTGCCTCTGTTTAGGATGTGAAATGCCACTGCGAATAGGAGGGGGGATGAGTGAGGGGGTCAGATGCATTCTAGCCTTTGAGTCCATACACCAGTGCTTTGCCCATCCTCATCTGAAGCAATTCAAGTGGTGGAGCTCCAGGCACTTCCCTGGGGAGATCATTCCACAGTCTAATAAATCTCTCTCTGATAGAAATGTTTCTTGATAACCAGCCAGGTTTTTCCTTTGCTTAGTTTCATTTGATTATTCTTAGCATCAGAGCACCCAGAGATGATTCCTTCTCTTTCTGGAGGGGCTACAATTCCTCCACCCCTCCCTTGGCTCTGGTGTTAGGCTAAGATGTTGGGTCAGATCTTACTCACTTGTCAGGATGTGGCCTCTTCCATGTACTTTTTATCTTGCTTCTAAGTTGGCCCTTGCAGAGTGCATTATGCTTTGCTGTTCTCTGTATTTCCCTTGTTATGCATATGCATTATTTGTGTGTGTTTGTGCATACTGTATGGGTGTATGTACGGCACAGAAAGCCAGGCCTCTCCTTCTGTATCTTTCCATGAGTCTGTGAATCTCAATCATGGAGCTTTCATGTGAGACTAAAATCCCAGATGCTCTTTTTTTTTTTTTTTTTTTTTTTTTTTTTTTTTTTTTTGTACTGGTCCTTGCATCTCCTCTGATCCTTGGCTATTTCTCCCATGGGCAACGTTAGCTTACATTTTGCTCTCCTGTTGTTTCTCACCTTATTTGACATCAGTTTCAAACGTATTGGATTCACTAAAACCCTTTTCCAGGACTTCAGCAGACCTCAGATGGGACCTACAAGTCTTTTCATGTTGTTTGTCTTTTTCCCTAGAGTCTTCAACACATCCAAATTAGGTAACATGTGCACCTTTAATTAGCAAACCTCCCCCTCTGCCCTCTCACCCCACACAAGGACAGTTCCTAGGCACTTCCTCTGTACCTGAGTAGAAATGTTGGGGTGGAGGCCTGATGGAACAGGGCAGCATCTGTAGTTCTTGTACTTCAGTCACCTGCTGTTACTGAAGAGGGATGTTGTGTTGATGCGCATCTGCAGCTGCATGTCTAACTTGACATTTGTATCCACTGCAGGTTGTGCGTTCCTCACATACTGCGCCCGAGACTCTGCCATCAAAGCCCAGACAGCACTGCATGAGCAGAAGACTTTGCCAGGGGTAAGTCCCAGTGAATTGTGCCTGGAGCTCATTGCGTGAGCAGGCAAATGGTGGATTGTCGGGGAGGAAGTGAGGGTGAGAAGTGGCTTAGATTAATTTCCCTGCTTGTGAAAGGGAAATGTGGTTTGGTTACAAGGGATGTGGGAGTCAGAGCACAGCGCTGCTCTTCACAGAGCTGCTGCTCTTTTCTCCACCTTGCCAAGGCTGCCTCCTGTAACTCCAGCCAAGCCTATTTCTGTGCTCCTCTTTGGTCTCTGTCATGTGATGCGATGTCTTCAGCTATCTGTCCCTGTCACTAGGGAGCTGTGGGCTTTTGGGTGAAGTGTGTGGACCCAGCCTGCACAGTGGACTTGCTGGAAAGCTGACAGGAGACAAGACAATGTACCACTTTCCTCCAGGTGTGCAGAACTTCCTGGTACATCTGCTCTTAGTCTGCCATTGCCCTGCAGGGTGCCTGGACAATTTGTTGGGTGACTCTGTGCAAGACCCAAAATGACTTCTAGTGCAGTGGCTGCATTGGATCAGCTTCTCAGAAAAAAAAAATACACTTGCACAAACCATTGTTTGCAAGAGAAGTGGGTTTTATAGGTGAGACCAAAACTGCTGAACTAGCTGTTCCTGGGTCCTGCTCTCTCCGCAGCTGGTATTGGGAGAAAAGTACAGTGGGGATCTTGGGAGGCCAGGTGCTGCGGAACAGGTCCCTCCTTGCAGGGAGGTCTTCTGCCTGCCTGGGACCTACTGGTGAGCTGAAAAGAGTTCTGAATTGTTGCCCTTCTCATTTTGGTGTGATTTGAGAGCTTTGACTAGGCATTTCCCTTGCTGTGTTGAGGGTATTGATGAAACACTTTGGAAGGATTCGTTTGGAGGCAAGTAGGCGGAGGAGTTGGGTACTTACAGAGGGAAGCTCACTGGAGGCCCTGAGTGCTCAAGGCAACAGAATAATTAATGTAAACCAGGGGTCTCTGGAGAGGTGTTAGGAATTCTTAACCATAACATTTGCTCTTCAACCCATACAGGTCCACATAGCTTCCTTCACCTCTCCCAGCTCCTCTGAAGACTTCCACATGCACACATCCTTTTCCATATTTATTTACCTGTGCTTCCTTTTTGCATGGGTCTGTGTTGACGTTTTGAGGGCTGGAAAATGCACGTAACTTAATTGCCACTTAGTAGGATCTTTACCATTTCAGGTTATTTCAGGGCAGCAAGGGCCAGATTACCAGGTGCTCAGATACCGTTTGAGTTAATTTTGTGCGAGGGGAAAAGGTCAGCCTTTCAGGCCAAAGCAATGTAATCTTCTGTGGGTGTTGGTCTGGGGCAGAATTCACAGAGTCTATAAAGAACAAGTCGAGGGATGGAGGAGCAGTCATGATGACTCATGGCACAGTGCTGTGCACAGTGGAGAAGACAGACATGTCTCTACCTAGTACCTGCAGAGGGACTTTGAATGGTTATTCATGTGGAGCTCAGTGAAGTCAGGGGAATCTCAGTTTTGCTGCAGTTCTACACCGGGAATTTGTTGCGTGTTTCACTATGTTCTCTACTGTTTGTGCTCCCAGTGGTTATAGAGTGCTGCATGGAGTAGTATTTAAAGCGGCAGTTTATCTGTGGTGGTCTAAAGGCTTTTCACGTTAAGGGAGGTGTACGAAACTGCTTGGGAACGGGAAGAAGTCTGTGCTAGCTGAATACTTTCAAACGTGTTTGTCTGGAGACAGTTAATGAGCACTGTGGTGTAATTTAGCTTCAGGTTTAAAATAAAGGTGAGCTGTGCTGCATTTGGAGCTGTCTGTTTTCAGGTTGGCAGTACACCACTTCATCACATTTAGTTTCTCTTTTGGAAATTCCCTCAATGACCAAGAAAGCAGAATTCTCTCTCTTGGGTCATTTTAGTGGTCATTTAGAGACTGTTACTACCAGAACAGAACAGACCTCCATCCTGATGTTCATGGAGTCGGTCTTGGCATGGACGTGGGCTGGCTGGCTTGAGGTAGCTTTCAGCACTATTTTCTTAGCCTGGTTTGCTTGTGTCTGTTTTAGTAGTAGTAGTACCGATCCCTCTGGATCAGTAGTAATAGAATACCTTTTACCTTTAGTAATAGTATTACCGATCCCTCTGACCCAACTGATGACAGAGAGTACTCTGGAAAGGCAGGAGTGCTAGGTAACTGATTGTTTCCCTATTTTGGGACTGAGGCTGTGAAATTTAATCTCTGTACATTCACATCTAGATCATCTTTTGATGAACTCGGTGGCAAAGCTTCTCACCAGAAATATAATAAGGACCCTAGCATAGAACAGAGAACAGAATGTAGTGGACCACACTGCTGGGATTTCAGTAAATGGGTCATAGTAAACAAGTGACTTCTTGTTTGTTTTACGTATTAACTATCTCTTTATTGCACGTAGCAATAGCAGGAAGAAAGTTTAAGAATGTATGAAATCAGTGTAGGGTGACACAATCTGTCATCTGAATGCATGACCAAGCATGAGCATGTTTGGAAGACAGCAAGGTATCAAAGAGACATAGAAAGGATCCTGTCGGTAATCGGTACCGGCCATCGTATTGCAAAGGAACCACAGATGCCCCAAGTACCCAAGTGTGTTGGTGTCAATGCAGAGACTAGTGGTTGATCTCAACAGTTCGTGAACCTGAATAGAGACAAATGGCTTGCTTAGTCTACATTGGAGGTTTGGTAAGGACAGATTTAAGGAAAAGCTTTGATATGGTTTGCAATAGGTCCTTAGGCTGTGATCAGGCAGCTGGAGCAGGACTCCTGGGTTCTCTTCCAAGTCTGTCACTGGGTAGGCCTGTGCCCGCAGAGGTATTGCTTAGGCCTTCCAGGTCTGATGCTAGCGACGTCAGCCCATCTAGGAGTGCTGCCGTGTTGTTCCTGCAGGGCCATACCTGCAGTGTAGCTTTCCTGAGGTTTCATGTTGTAGGTTTTCCACATAAGTCAGGAATCGCCATGGTCTCTCTCTGGTTTTGTGGAATTTCTGGCAAATTCTTCTTTTGGTAGATCAAAATTCTTGTTTATTTTTAAAGTGAGAGCTGTTGGATGTATGGTAACTAAATAGAATTTAAACTCAAAAAAGCTTATTTTTTGACAGTAAGGCTTAGTATCTTTCTCTGTAGACAGATTTTTGGCTTTCACCTCCTTTTTGAAGGGCTAGTGTGCTCAGGGTGTAAAGCAAGAAGACTGTCAGCTGTGTATTTTATTATCTGAAATGCTTATCAGCCTTCAGAGCTGGTGAATTGCTATCAGTGCAGTTGGGAAGTAACAAACGCATGAATCTTCTTTTGGGGAGGAAGGATGGAGCTTCCTAGTACAGAGGTAAAGTACATTCTCTGTGAAGTGTCTGATCACACAGGCTTGCTAAGGAGCTTACAAGGATGCCAAGTGTCTGTGCCCTTGCTGTCCGCGGGGGTAGGCAGAAGAATGCCTGCCTTGCGGCTGTGTGGGTGGGAGCCTGTTTCTACACATTGTGGTGTGGACCCTCAGATGCGGACAGCAACCTGTGAACCTCAGCACAGCCAAAGAGCTGACACGCAGCAAGAGAGGCCTGCCCATCACCATCGTTGGTGCAGGTGACAAGCGGGAAGCACATCACACCTTGCTGGCAATGACTCGTGCTGTGCAGCATCCAGCATCACGGTCAGTTCTCTGCCCTGCACCATATCCTAGCCAGCCTTGACACGCTCCTGCTCCCTGCTCTTCACAGTACTTTGTGTCCTGCATTGCAAAGATCCTGTTTTACATTCCCCAGTTTTGCTTCCTGAGGACAAGCTGGGGAATTGCACAATTAAGTCTGACTCAGTCCCAGTAAAGCAGTTCAACAGGCTCTAAAGACTCCAACAAGAGATGGAGACAGATCTGCCCAAGGAACAAAATAGAAACCAGCTCCCTTTATGGCCTGAGTCCACAGGGCTTGGGGAAAGGTGCACAACCCATGGAGGCTGAACAGATGAAGTCTTTGGATCTGAAAAGCAGAGAGGGAATCAAGCCCTTATGCTTCTTCCTAAGTCTAGTGTCCTCTTCAGCTGCCAGCCAGTGCAGTGTTTCACCTTCTCCCCACTCCCTGGCACACTCCTCCCTGGCTCAGTGAAATGATATTATATCTCCATAACCCATGCCTTTGATTCGTGATTGTGCCTTCACTTTGCTGAGTTCTGAAAGGAATTGGAGAGGTTATTAATGACACGCAGTGATCACACACCAAGTTAAAGCCTCTTGCTAAGTGAAATTTGAGGGAGAAGCAGCCAGCTTTTCAATATTTCGCAGAAATGCTTTGTGTCTCTTTTCATTTGCAGCCAGACAGTTGCAAATTACATAAAATTGCTCCTGAAGAAGAAGGGGAAGAAGAATAGAGGAAGGAAGTGGAGGGGGGGAGGTTTAAAAAAGTAATTCTTCTGGCAAGGTACAGTTACAGTTTTATTTCTGTGCAGAACAAAGAGGGGCTTGCTGAAAGATAGGCAAGTAATTGGCAGAAATTGGTATTGATCCAAGCTGGGAATATGGGCAGTTTAAGAGCAGTGATGGGGGTGCTGAAATGTGGCTACATCATGGGGAGAGCTCATGGATGCCATGATGGCTTGGGAATGCAGGGACACGGGAATGGAAAATTACATAGAGCAGCAGCATTAGAGCAGAGAGAGACTCTGGGAATGCACCAGGGGTTGAGACATTGCAGCACTAACTCAGATGGTTGGGCACAAGGATTAATGCAGGGACCCAGCAGAGCTTGAGCAGAGGGCATCCCTGTGGACAGGCTGTCTCCTGTGCTTCCAGGAGCAAGGGCTCACCATGGGCCATCTGTCAGGATCCACAGCCTGTGATGATATCAGGGAATGCAGGTGACTTGGAGGGGTTTTGGTAGAGGTCAAAGCATCACATTCTCCCCTCCGCTCTTTTCACACAAGTGCTGGTGTGAAGCCAGCCTGGACCAGTACTTGAGTTTCTTCATGTGAACACTGCAGGATATTGCAGCTGGCAAAGCTGAGA